GGGGGGAGATCCTCGGATCTCCTCCGATCGTGCCGTGCCGGGGTTCTCTCCATCAAAATTAGGGGCGGAACTGACCTAAATCGCACTGTCACCTGAATGGTGCTCAAGACTGTTGCCACTGGCAGGCGTATTTTTCAAACGTCACCCAAAGCTTATGCAGTCGCAGTTTTAGCAAGAAAATGAAGGAATGTTTTATATATATATATATATTTTTAAGGGTTCGAATCAAATTTTTCCCTTAAATTATATTTCATAAGATTCGGGCACCCTACTTCGGGTGTGCTAAGTTGAAATGTATCAGAATTAAGTTTAAAATTTAATAATTTAACTGCGTCAAGGAACTTAGACTCAACTGTATATGATCATCTTCATCACAGGCTTCTATAGTATTGTCTTTAAATATACTTCAACACCTATCTGCAAATAGACTTTGATTTCTTTTTCTTAAACACTTCAGAAGCAGAAGGCATCTTATTAAATATGTGTACGCAAACTAGTCCATTAAATGTGAAAGTTTCAGAGCTAGTTTTATCTGTTGGGATTTTAACTGTCAGGATCCATTCTTCTTTTCATTACTTCTTCTTTTTTCTCGTAAGTTCAAAATATTCATTGCTTAAAGTTTATCATTAACTCAATCCAGCTTCAGTCACGTGCAGAAGCACACAAAAATGAAAATATTACTGTCGGACAAATTTTAGGATATCTAATTATTCTGTTTCTTCGAAATAATTCAATAACCTTATTTTTGAACAATGATATAAAAGACATATCTAACAGATTCATAAATAACTTGTTGCTTCGGTCTATGCAGGAATCAAATGCAGACAGAACCAATCAAAAATTTATACATTTTGCAGACCTGCAAATCTATTGCTGAAACTGTAGTTTATCCCTTAAAATGACTAACAAGTACTTCCAAGTCATAATAAGTAATGTTTTTATTTTCTTTATTTCCCAGTTGTTGAAAAATTATTAAAAAGTTTTGAAATTCAAGCAAATTCCTTAGAAAATATAATTCGAAAACACAATAAAGTGAGAAAATACTTTTTAATTATAGTTACAGGAGAAAATTTAGATGTTATTTTCTGTTAAGTGTTAAAATTTTTAAAATCTTCCTCTTAAAAATATCAATCTATTTGCCTCCGATCCTTAACAACTCTCCTCTTTAAATAATCCCCCTTACGTATTCATTGTTTTGGTGACTCTTGATTTACAATTCAGCATAGAGACTGACTTTACCCATACTGCAGTGCAATATATCCCCACTTTCGTTTCACAGTTTCCAAAGGCTATCATCGCTGAAGATTTCAATGTAGCCAGGACATTATGGGAAGCACCGAAGGACAATGCAAAAGCACTCCCTATCTTAGCTTACATCACAGCGAGCATTTTGTTTATTATCAACGGCTTTGACAATCCACCTATTTACTGGAAAACTCGCTCACGAGGCTGGACAGATATTAAATTAGCTTCACAAGCTACTTTCTCACTCATCAAAGAGTGGAAGATCAGTGATATTCCGTCCCTTAATGATCCTTGCCGTATTTAAATTTTCTCTTTAAACTACCCACAATTACACAACGAAAAACAGACTGAATACTAACTTTAGACTCTCCAAATTCAAGAACACACTATCGCCATACGTATAACTCACTACTGCTGTTTAAATCGGCAAAAGCACGACTCCCTTCGCAGTTTGATTACGCACATAAAGATTTTGGTGTAAAGTTCTGAAGAAGAAGAGTTACGCTAAACAGAAAACAAAGCCCTTAGGAGTAATAAATTAGCTGCTGAACGACAAAAGATGAGAGCACTGAGGCGACGAATGCAAGGTATGCCTTAATTTAAATGAAACACTACAACTTTCCTTTACTTTACACAAATGCACAGCCGCTTCTATAGAGGTATAAACAAAGCCAAGCTCTTGGCGCATTCACTGGACTTCTAATAAAAAAATTCAGAATAGTCTTTATAATGTACTTATACTGCTTGCACCATACATGGTCAACGTTCAGACGGGGGCGTAAAGGGCATAAGTGGTTAAAGCTGAGCTCCTTTGCCAAGGCACCCAGTCTGTGCTACGTCCCAAAATCTGGTTTAGGGCTCATGGTAGCGCAAGTTTAGCTTCTCTCATTGGCCACGGCTTACACCCCGTTCTCGGATTCCCGTATTTTATGCCCTTATGATTATGCCTCTATGCCCTTTACGCCGCTGTCTGAACGCAGCCTTAGAAATTATTACAGTCTAGTTGTTAATAAACGTTCAAATTATTTCAAAGATAAAGTTCTTCTTAACCAGCAAGAATAACATTAAAAAAGCAGTTGTCGAGTAATATGGAATGTTGAGTAATCAGTAAACAACTTTACAGGACCTTACTGTGCCTTCTTACATATTTTATACATACACAGAGTTTTTCCATGGGATAAGATTCCACGTAGGCATCCCTTCCCATAGGCAAATAGCCATATACTTTGCTGTAACCAAGTAAACCAAACACAGTCATCTATAGGACGAATGCATACAAAGATTGATTGAAAACTTTTGTGACTGTCCCTGCTTCTCTCCTATAACCTTTAGGGTACTGTCAAACTTGTAAGTGATTGTAAGGGAAAGGACTTGGATTGTAAGTGAAAGTATCTACGAATAATACGGACAATCTGTTGTCACAAGTGAGACACTCCAAGGTGAAATAGAAGAGATCCGCAAAGCATATTCTAGCAGTTCGCCACTGCAGTTATACTCATTATTATTGCACACCCATGGGAAGACAATAAATAGTAGCTATTACATAAGCATCTTAGAAAACACTTATGTGAAGCCATGCAAAGGAAATGAATGCATTTTCTCAACATATAGTGGTTTCGTTTGAGAAGAATATTCAGCTCCATGTTGCATTAGCAGCATTATTTGAAATCGAATTTTCGACTACAGTGTTACAAAATGAACAGCAGCTTCCCCGCAAAGAGGGTTTAGGGTTGCGCAAAATTGGCAAGGAAAGAAAAGGTGGCCAGATTTGGCGTGAAATCGCCTATTTGGCAACAAAATCGGAGTATACCATAAATGAAGAGAGAGTATTCTAGAACGCATTCTTGGCGGATTTCCTCGGGAATATTCTCGAAGGTAAGATAAAGCTATATATATATAGAGAGAGAGAGCTTTATCTTTACTGCCTTACCTTCTCTATATCGCAAACCACCTCCGTGTCCAAGATCAAACGCTATAACCTTCCTGGCCGGAAATTAACAACATTTATGAAGAAAATTAAAGTGCAGCTAATGCGCCTCGAACCTTCGCTCCAACTAGCTAACACGGCAGCAGAATTAGAAGACTTCTCCGTAACATTACAAGAAACAATGCAAGCCATATGTAATGAAAATCTTCCTCTTAGTAAACCTAAGAGACTCCAAGGCATTAACTGGTGGTAGAGTGCGCTCAGAATACAGCAATGAAAGCGCAGAGCACTGCGAAGAAAACTCAAAAGCGAAAGACGGTTGGAGATAGAGTCCAACACCCTCACCATATTTCAACGGGAGCGGGAGCGGTAGAAAAAGATGATTATTCAGGCTAAGATTACTTCCTGGAGGGAATTCTGCACCCAAGCAAAAAAGACGTATGGTATTCACCACAAAATAGCTACCGGTAAAATTTTTAAACCTTCGCAGCTACAGATCCCTCTTTCAATCACCAACAGTCAGGAGTACACGGCAGACATCCTACGTACGCTCTTAAACGCAGTTTTCTGCAAAGACGATGTACTGCAGGACACAGCAGAACAAGCTCTTCTGAGGACAGTAACAACCACACTGGACGCCCCAACAGACCCGGATATTACAATTAATGAACTTCAAAAAGTTCTTGCAACTCTGACGCGCAAGAAAGCCCCTGGGCCCGATGGGATGGACTATGCTATCACTAAAGCAACGATCAAAACTCACCCTAAATTCTTTGTTGACTATTTCAACAAGCTTCTGGCGGCAGGTTTATTCCCAAAACCCTACAAGATAGGGCAAGTTATTTTATTTCTGAAAAAGAACCGGAACCCAGCCGAGGCCACATCCTTTCGTCCTATCTGTCTCTTATCGGCAATGGGTAAGGTACTAGAAAGGATTATCATGAACAGGCTACGGTACCATTTACACACGCAAGGATTCTTAAGCTCGAGACAATACGGGTTTAGGACGGGCACTTCTACAGTCCACGCACTCTTTCACATTAGAGAAGCAATTTTAGAGAATCGACATAGCGACCACCATACTGCCATGATAAGCATAGATCTCAAGAACGCTTTTGATACTTTATGGTGGCCGGCTATCAAACAGGCTCTGCGGAAGGCAAAATGTCCGAGCAACCTGTATAAGATGCTAAGCAACTATCTACAGGATAGAAGACTACTAGCAGTTCGCAACTCAGGCATAATAGAACAGGAGAAGACAAGAGACTGTCCACAAGGGTCGTGCGCTGGTCCACACCTGTGGAATCTAACTTTCAACGAAGTCTTAACAGCTACATGGCCAGCGCACACCCAGATCTACGCCTACGCAGACGACGCAGCGTTAATAGTGAAAGGTCGAACCCGTAGAGAATTAGAGACTCACTGTAACGAAGTGTGCCAACAATTCTACGTCCTAAACTGAAAATTGCAGAGCACAAATCCAAAGTGTTATTAATACCTAAAAAGGGAGGTTCTCTTTCAAGAAGACCAACCATTAAGATCAACAATCAGAGGATACAAATAGTCAATCAACTAAAATATCTGGGCCTTACGTTCGACCACAAGATGACCTGGATACCACACATCCAGGACATCAAAATTAGAACAGTGACAATAGCGAAGCAAATGCGATTATTTCATGGCCACAAATGGGGCCTCAATCCTCATATTCAGAAGGTCCTCTTCACCACAGTGGTGGAAAAGATAGTCACTTATGCAGCAGCAGTATGAGTTCACCCAATGCAAAGCAAGAATTAAACACCTTTCTATCATTCAAAGATCCTTTGCAATGGGTATCACCACAGCCTACCGCACGACCTCTTCAGATGCGATCAACGTGCTGGCTGGCCTCCTTCCCCTACACATCCGTGTCGAAGAGGAGGCAGAAAGACAAATCGTCCTGCAGCTTAAAAGACCTGTCACCTTTGACGAAGAATATTTTAATCCAGAGGACTATGAGGCTAAATGCTGCCCTCTGAAAATCCATCCAGCAGCCAAAGGCACCGGAATAAACATAATTACCAATCCAACTACCGCCCACTGTCCAGCACAGATTACCATCTTCACTGACGGGTCGAAGATAGACGAAAACGTCGGAAGTGCCTATGTGGTCATGCTGCAAGATACAGTCATAGATCAATGGAAGGGTCAACTAAGGCAATTTAATAGCGTTTTTCAGGGAGAAGCAGTGGCAATTGCGCAAGCAATCCGCTACCTGCAATCCCCCCACTCCCGCAACGCTACAATAAAGACAGACAGTCTTTCTTCGCCATACGCAATTGGAAACCCTGACCACCCATCCGATATTATTCAGGGAATACGGGAAGATCTGCGAAAATATTCCCAACTCCATACAAGACTTGAATGGATCAAAACGCATGCCGGCCACCACGGCAATGAGTTGGCTGACCATCTAGCCAAAGAAACTGCCACAGGGCAAATCTCAACAAATCAACATCCCATGGCCAGTGTCTTATCTGAAAAGAACATTGCACTTAAAGGCAATCGGGAAATGGCAGCAGACATGGGATAACAGCGATACCGGCCGACGGACTTACTACCATGTCAGCTACGTGGACACTACCAAAAATTTTGCAAACATGCAATTGGTAAGATAAATTACGGGTCACGGACCATTTCCCGAGTACTTTAACAAACGCGGGATAAGTAACACTAGCCAGTGCGCCTGTGGACAGACTGGCTCTCCGGAGCATTATCTGACCTCCTGTCCCCTTACAGAAGGGCGACACATCAACCTCCCGTCGACCAATCGTCAAGCTTTCTGTAAGTTTTTGATAAAACAGAGACACTTGGTTAGAAAAATAGGGCTTTTAATGGATAAACTGGCTGACCTTGACACAGACCTGTGCCATACTTAGTCAGCCATATAAACGAAAAGTAATTCAGAGTCCAGCACCCACTACCAACACCACAAAATAACTGTGAATTATCGTAAGGAGTATCCAACACTCCTAGTAACACACTGGTGTGCAAAAATTAAGGACGAGACGATTTTTTCAATATAACTTTGTACAAAAGCTTTCCAAATCAACACATTTAATACCGTAAGATCCCCAATACGTAAGGACATGAGTAATGTAAGCAACACTTACTAAAAGAGAAATCAGAGGGATAAAAAGAAGCTTTATTGAAAAAGTAGCATGGAGCGCAATGCGACTGAAGGCCGAAACATCCCTGTGATGGGTGTCCAGCAAGAAACATCCGGTCTTTAATAGGGGATATGATCTCCCGTGACTGCTAGGCAGGTTTCACAGCGTCTGCCCATGCTGAGAATGAGGGTGTCAATGAGTAGTTGAGGCATTGCTGCCCATTCGTCTTGCAGCGCCAATCGAAGCTCCGGAATCGTTACTGGTGGTAAGGTACGAGCTGCCAAGCGTCTGCCTAGAAAATCCCATACATGCTCGATGGGATTGAGATCCGGAGATCGTGCCGGCCAATCCATACGTTCAATATCCTCACTCTCTAAGAGCTGTTCAGCAGCTACTGTGCGATGACATGGTGCATTGTCGTCCATGAAAATGCGGACCCATAGCGCCTCTAAAAAGACGCACATATGGAAGAAGAATCTCGTTTCAATAACGGGTCCCGTTGACTGAACCTGCGTCGAAGATGTGAAGGTCTGTACGACTACCAAGCATGATGCCTCCCCAAACGAGAACACCGCCACCTCCATACCTGTTCCTTTAAATGATGTTCGAGAGATGATTGCGGCTTCCCCGCTCTCTCCAGATGAGTATGCCATGAGAATCGCTACTCAGACTGAATCTGCTCTCATCTGTAAAGAGTACTCGTCCCCATTCATTGTCTCTCCAATTCCGTTGTTCCCGGCACCACAGAGAACGCCTTCTCCGATGGGCAGGCGTTAGAGGTACACACCGTACAGGGCGTCGTGCATACAGACCACCACCGTGCAGTCTTCTGGCCACGGTAAAACGCGATATCGGTCGTCCAGTCGCCTGTGTCGTGTGTCTAGCGATTTCTCCCGCTGTCTGCCGCCTGTTTCTTCTGGCCTGTAAGACAATATACCGGTCATCTGCGGGTGTGGTTCCTCGTGGACGACCACTACTAAACCCCCGGAATGCTGTTCCTGTAATTTGAAATTGTCTCCAAAGTCGTGAAACGATGCTGTGAGCAATTCCGAACTCTGCAGCCACACTGTCACACTGCGGCCTTCCTCCAACTTCCCAATGATTCGACCTCGGGTAAAAGTATCCAGATGTCGTCTAACAGATTGATTATTCGCCATTTCTCGCTGAGGCAGCAACTCGGTGTGATTTTAACTGCTATACGGCGTGCAATCTCTTTGCCAGAAATACTGATCTTACACCGACAACATGCTTTATACTACTCAGACACTCCCCCATTACGTCTACCTGCATATCTGCGCATGTGCTGCCGTACATCACCTTACTTAATCTCCTGATTGGTCTTTCTGTCCGCTCTGCCTCTTCGTTCAGCTGATATGCTAATTTTTCGACTTCGTCCTTAATTTTTGCACACCAGTGTATAGCAAGAATCAACTATTTAATCAATTTGCATTATGCCAACCAAACGAATTATGTCTATTATCAGTACCGCAATATGTAAATAAGGACCATCTGTACCTGTTTATGGATGTATCTTAAGTACCATCACCATGTAGTTATGTTTTATGTATGTATATGTATAATGCACCCAATGATTCTATACTCAATATAATTATGCGCCTTGTATTTGTATATATATGTTCTAGTATAAATGTTACTGTATTGATCATTAACTGTATTAATCATTGCTGCATTATTGTATTAATATTATTTAAGCATCATCAAATTAATAGCACCAATTGCTAGCTGTAGCCCTTATTACGTACTTCCAGTCAAGTATATTTATGCATAATGCTTACGAGACTAAGGTACTATGTGCATTATGATTGTGTGCCCAATGATTACTATGTGCCTAATACTATGTATATATATATATCCTCGTATGTATGATAATGTAACCATGCATCCGAATATGACATCACGCAACATGACACTTTACCGCATAGTGTTAATCTAAAAAATACATTAATTCTTCATTCTAAAAAAATCTTAATTAAGTCTAAAATTAAGTCTTAATTCTAAAAATTCCATTGCATTAACTAACTTCTATAGCATTATTATTATATATATATTATATATATTTGTTTATATATTATGTATCGTCTGTATATGTACCATGTATATAATGCTTATAAATCCAATGATTACTGCGTGCCTAATAATTGTGTATACGTGTTTTAGTATGTATATAACTGAATCCATGGCTCCGCGCATATCATCCTGTAGCATGGCACTGTACCACACAGCGTTAAACTAGGATCTTATACTAAAATTAACAGCACCAATGAATTGTTCCAGCATTGTACTAATCTTATGTATATGCATAGTGCATCTAATAATTATGTATCCTATGTTAATTATGCACCTAATATATGTATATTTATATATATATAGTATTAACAAGTAGAAATATTACTGTATTCATGCGTCAGTATTTAACACTGTGTAACATGAAGCCGTTTCGCATAGTGTTAAACTAGAATCTTACTATAAAATTAACTGCATTATTACTTTCTATAGCACTGTATTATGAACCATCTGTTTTATATATGTATATGTATACCATGTACCTAATGTCGGAGAATCTAGTGATTATTATGTGCCTAAAAGTTGTGTATATGTATATTAGTACGTATATATTAGTTTATCCATCCAATCGCCTACAGCATCATGTTACATGTAAAAATAACAGCATCAATTACTTGCCCTAGCATTGTATTAAGAAACTAATATATGAATATGTATATGTATTATGCGCCTAATGTATATGTACCCAATGACAATTATGCAGCTTATAATTGCGTATAAATGCATTATTTTTAAAATACTATAAAATTAATTGCAGCAATTATCCTCAACGGCACTCTCCAATGTACCATCCGCTCATGTATATAAATGTGCCATGTAACTATTGATTATGAAATCGAATGATATAAGCATTGTAAATAGGTATAGCATTGTAAATAGGAAAAAGGTATAGCATTGTAAATAGGAAGCTGTACCCATGCACCCGCATACATTTCTACGTAACGTGACACAGTAAGGCAAAATATCAACCCAGTGTCCTATTATGAAATTAATAAGCACCTATTACTAGTTATAACATTATTTTATGGATCTAGAGTTTAAGTATATGAAGTAAGTACCAAATGTTTATGTCACCAATGACTATTATGTACCAAATATAAGCGTATATAGGCTTTTGTCTATATGTAATTGTGTATGTCCTTGTATATATGTAATTGTACCCATGTATCTACTAGTATTATCACATATCTTGGCACTGTATAGTTAATATACATCTATTACGCACTGAATAATCATGTACCTAATGTGTCTGTACATAAAATGTCTGTATATATGCATATGAATTTATGTTCTGTATACAAAATGTCTGTATATAAGTATATGAATTTATGTTCTGTATATATGTATATGAATTTATGTTCTGTACATATGATAATGTAACTATGCATCTACGCATTTTATCTTGTAACACGGCACCGTATCGCAAAGAACTAACTAGAGCCCCACTCTAAAATTAATTGCACCAATTATCTGTTCAGCATTGTATTAAGTACCTATTGTTAATGTATGTTAAAGTAGCACGTACCTAACACTTGGGTATCTTGCTAATTACTGTGTACCTAATAGACATATTTTAATATCTTTGTACATTGGTTAATGTACTTAGGAAACAGTACAAATAATTCAGTAGCAAGACACTGTACCACACAGTACTAATCTAGGGTCTAAATTTTAAATCACTGTACTATTAATTACTTATTCCAGCATAACATTGCGCATCTAATATTTCAATATGTACATGTCTTCTGTAATCTAATGATAATGCTTCAAAGGGTCATAGTGTACTCAACATATGAGTACACACGTTATGTATATATGCTATCGTATCCATGCTTTTGCATACACCTCGTAACATGGCAATGTATTATCCAGTGACTAACATTAATTAGCTTTAACGCCACTGTATGAAGTACCAAATTTGTATGTATGTTTGTAAGGATCTTAAGTTTTACTAACGTTTATTTTATTTTAAATCTTTACTATCACTTCTTATTTTCTACTTCCGGCCAGAATTAAAAGCGTTAACTTATTTATGCAAAATTTGTCTGGCGAACGCCAAGTACTTAAGTTGTGGCTTTTTGCCAAGCGAGAGAGAGGAAGGAGTAGTCGAAGCAGGCCGCTTGCCTTAGAAGTTTTATTCGGTTGCTGGTTGCCTTCCAGGCCAGAGGTTTAATCCTCTTGATAATTTTAAACGTATTGTAGTGTTAACTGTTCTCTGTACTACATACGGCTTCTTGTTAATATACGGCCAATCTTCCACGTTTATTATTCCAAAGTTAAGTTAGAGTTTAGTTAAAATATTTTTATATTCTTACGTTCAGACCACAAGTAGTTGGTC